GGGTAGTATATATATATATATACACACACACACACACACACACACACACACGTAAATTCAATTAGAAGATTAAAAAATGATAGAATTCCTAAGATCCAAATCTTCTAAATAATGCCATCTATTATCTTATTAATATTTATTAATATTAATATTATTAATATTATTAATATTATTTAAAAGGTATTGTAAAAGATATAGAATGTCTCTAATCTTATCGAAAAAAAATTATACAATAAATATACATATACAATAACAAAATTATACAATAAATATACATAATACAAATCTTATATTTTACAGATTGACAGTAAAGTCAAGAAAGTCTTTTATGTTTTATTTTTTAAATATTTTCCTTTATTAATCTACTAATTTATTTAGAAATGTTTAGAAATGAGTAAGGAAATAAAAATTAGATGTGATATTTGTATTTAAAAATCATTTTGTAGTTTACTAACGATTATTTTTTTATTTTAAATTTTTTCGAGTGAAAGTAGTCATTTCATTAATAAAGTATTATCATAAAGTTATCTTTAAATTTGCTGCTAATCTGCCAACATTGCTAATATTTTACTTAGAGAATATTATACATACTATATTATACGTGCTATATTCTACATACTGTATGTTTATTATACGTATAACACTATATATATTTTTTAGGAATTTGGCAATATTTTGTTAGCTATAAGCTATCTGCCCACAGCAGAGAGATTGACTATTAACATCATGAAATTGCGTGACATCAAATTTATACCAATTGTGTCAAGTTTAAACGAATTTAGTAAGTGTTATCAATTTCAATATAGTATAAAAATGTTTTTAATTAACTATGTTTTTTACAGATCCTTATATTAGAGTATTAATGATAAACGGAAAAACAGGCAAAAAGATGAAGAAGAAAAAAACCAAATTTTTTGCGTGCCATTGCACAACCAGAATTTAACGAGATTTTAACATTTGACTTAGCAGTCACTCAACTCGATACTATTCAATTTTTGATAGTGCTTTGTAGCAAGGTAACTTAGGAATAAAAAATTTTAATAATTGTTTAATAATGTAGTAATAATGTAATATTTTTTAAATTACATAAAGGAATAAAGCACCCCGCACAAAACTACGTGTTTTTGGCCCTCTGTGAAATTGGATGAAATCTTAGTATGTTATAGTTCTTAATTTGCTGATCAAGTTTCCTTAGGCACAAAGCTTAAAAATGGCTAGTTTTTTTTTGCTACAGTCGTTTGAAATGTTATATTTTATCATTATTATTGTAATTTCCAAATCGGTTTTTATAATAAATCGAGAGATTTTAGATAAAAATATGCGATTTACTTACACATTTGAGAAAGAGTTATGTGTATACGTGTTGCCTATCCTGCCTGTGTATATGTGTGTGAGGGAGGGAGTATGCTACCTATTTAGCTTACAAAGCAACATATTTAAATATTGGA